CACTCTGGATATTGTCCTGTGATTAAAGTATTTAACATTTTTAATGACTATATGATATGGAGTCCATTGGGTAAATATGCCACTTCAATTTTTTTCTTTATTTTTTAGTTACAGTGCTTGCTCGTTGTCATAAACTTTTATAATTATTACTGCTTGTATAATTATTCATTCTTCCCAATTTATTCAGGCCTTTTGCTGTTCTTTCAATCAGTGATCAGTCTCCAATTCTTTGTTGACTTCTAAGTGCTCATTATTAAGAAGTTACTGAATGCTGACAAAAACTGAGGACTAATGGATGTGGGGGGGAGGGGGGGATGGGCATGGAGGACGACACTTGTGGGGATGAGCACTGAGTGTTATGTGGAAACTAATTTGACAATAAACTATTTGTAAAAAAAAAAAAAAAGAAGTTACTAAAAGTGAGAAAATCTTTAAGACCTGAGATTCTGTTACATAATGAGTATTTTCTTTATAATAAAAGATAGCACAGAGATTATGTAAAGTCCTCACATTAATAGTAGTGACTATATTTACTGTACTTTTTCAATGCAAAATTCAAACTACATCAACTCAAAAAAACAGATAATTAAGTTTATACATAAGTAATGGTCTTTTCCCTTTGAAATTTAAAATTTACCTTCAATATATCCAACAATTAATGCAAATTTAGTAGGCACATTTGCAATAACACAAGGACAATGGTCAAAATGAATAAAACTTGGAATCTGTAACTATAGTTTTAATAGTGCATATCATTAAGGGTTAAAGAAAAATTTAATGATGATTTCAGATTTACAGGTGAGGTCAAGAGAGTCTAAATTAGGTGTTAACAAAGTATGTCAGAGGCCTGTTTTTGTTTGGCCTAAGAATGTTTACATTTTTAAAATATTGTAAAAAAAAGAAAACAAAAAACAAAATATATGCCACAATCTGTACCTTACAAAACCAAAAATAATTACTTTTTGGTTCTTTACAGAAAGTTTGACAACTTCAGACCCATCTATAGCCACATAATAAAAAAGAGAAGATAAAGTGTTTAAGATGTATGTAACTATGAATGTATGTAACAAGGCCCATAAACAGAAAAAGCAACCAAATCTTTCCTTTCAGCTTCTCTTCAAATTGATGTAACCTCCCACCCCCCATTTTCTTCTCAGCACTCTTGGAGTAATACAAAGGATCACAATTTAAAATGCAGCCAAATACATCAGAAAACCAGTTAGTGACACAAGAAGTGAAAAGGAATGAAGATAGTTCACAGTTGTAATAAAGTGATCATTGAGTAAACTACAACACAGAGCCGTATAATTTTAGAACAAGACAGAACCTTAAAAATCATCTATTCAGCCCTCAATTTTAGAGATGACAAAATGGAAGACCTAAAACTGGTAAGTGACTTGCCCAAGATCACACACCTAATTTCCTCTAAAGTTAGAACTATATCCCAGGCCTATTGTTAGGTCAATAGAGATAGGTCAATATTGTATCAAGTATTCCAAGTGAAAGTGCTAAGTCAATATTACAATATATATATTTTTTTATTTTAACAAATTTGTTAAGTTGGAAAAATAGCACACCTCTCACACATCTACAGAAATAAATCCTTTTATTTTGTAACATTCCTTTTCTTTTTAAGATGCATACAGTACTTATAGCCCAAGAATTCTGAGAAAAGCCTATAGAAGACCTGGCACTATTTTTGAGAATTACACAACTGGGCAGCAAAATAACACCTTTATAAATGTCAGGGTATATAGAAATAAAATTTAGTGTTTGCACACAAAAATAGGGAAGTTACATTCAACACGTTTTCTTAAACGTGCATTTAAAATGTTTGTTTTCTAAAACTTTGGTCATCATGCTTCATTATAATGTGTTAAATTTCACAATTATGTAGATGATTAAACCCAAATGGTAAGCAAATATATCACATTAACACAGCAGCAAAAGCAAGCTAATACTGCACAATCATATTAGCGGACTGATTTCGGAAATATATGTTTTCCACAAATAGCACACAAAAGTTAGTTTGTGATAACATAGTTCAATGACTTCTTTCACTTCATAAAATAAGGCTGAGTAATGACAGAACATGATTACATAATAAAAAGTATATTTTTAATCACAAATCTAATTGTACATATAGGACAATGAATGGTGGCTTCTATAGAACAGTGCAAATGAGCAGGACTTTCCTCAAAAATATTATAATTGGATTCATTCCATTTGCCTCAGATTTCATGAATATTAGGTTATATTAATTATTTTAGGTTTCTGTGTGATGGGTACAAGTGGTAGGGTTGATGCAGGGCAGATGTGTGCCCACTGGTTGCAAATACAAATAGCCATTGACTTAATTTACCAGATGAGAAATGCAGGCACTGAAAGTGTAACTTTAAAAAGTTCCATTTGTCATCATGTAAACAATTTTGTTCATCATACTATATTTCATCAAAGAATCATAATTCATTTCATATTGTCATATCGAGCAATTCTTCTAAACTCTTTTTGATATGTGGTGGTTGAGATGCAGCCTGATTTAATAGATTCTGACCCATTTGTGCAAAAAGTGCTTTTGATAATTTAGCTGTGGCTGTTCGTATATTTCCTCCAGCTCCAGGCAAAGAGCCACTATTTGTCATGTTCCCTAAGAGATGCCATAAAACAACCAACACTTTCTGTTCTGTGGCATGGGGCTTCCTTTGATAAAGTTCCATGACAATATCTGAAACATAAAAATATAGTAAACAGTCAGGTTTTTAAAATATAAAGTTTTGCTAATTAAAAAGTATATTAAAAAAAAGCTTCTTCCCTATGCCATTTGTTCTAAAATGTCAGGCATTTTAAAGAAAAGTAAGGTCAGAAACTTTCTTCCCTAAGACTGGAATCTTCAAATATTAGAATTCCACACAGGACAACTTAGCTCAGGCAAAATTAGTAAAGACAGGAATTAAACCCCAAATTTACCTCAATGTTTTCCAAAAAACATACATTTTTAACCCAATGATCTTTTATGAAACATATAATTTGAAATAGTTTTTCATGAGTACCAATTTGATTTTAATGTCTCTATTTTTAAATCTGACAAGAAGAAATAATTACTAGGAAATAAAAAGGATAAACTAAAAAATATTTGGGGCAAAAGTCTTAAAAAGTTCTCATATGGATCATTATGCAAGTCATTTCTTTTTAAAAAAATTTTTTAATAGTTTATTTATTTTTGAGACAGAGAGAGACAGAGCACGAGTGGGGGAGGGGCAGAGAGTGAGGGAGACACAGAATCTGAAACAAGCTCCAGGCTTCGAGCCATCAGCACAGAGCCTGACGCAGGGCTCGAACCCACGAACTGCGAGATCATGACCTGAGCCAAAGTTGGGCGCTCAACCAACTGAGCCACCTAGGTGCACCTATGCAAGTCATTTCTACATCGTGGGTAATGATATTGAATTTGGTAGCTATCCCAAAACTAACTGAAATGCCTATCATTTTTCTTTAGTTAATATTTCTTTAGAAATAACAATTAAAGAATATTTACCAGCAAGCTTTTCAGTCATATCTTGTTTTGCTTTTCCATTTAAAAACTGAGCTTTTGTGCAAAATGGCTGTAGAAGCAAATAATTGTCTAAACAAAAAGAATAATATAGACACATGTTTAAAGAGTTAGGAGTTCTTATTTTCCATTACACAGCATTGAAAGGAAAAGATATTCAAGCAAATGAATGCAAATATGTTAAAAAGATTTTTAAATCTATGTACTCACTACTTAACATTATCTATAAAACCTTAATAGAATACTATTCTTATAGCAAATAAGAAATAAAAATACCTCAAGTAGGAGTTTTAAAACAGCTATCATAGGTATAAAAAAGCAAAAGAATTGCCTATCTCCTAGTCATCTTATTCCAAAAGATAGAATATAAGTTTATCAAAAACAAACAAAATAAAAAACAAACAAAATTACATTTTGGAGGGGATAGTTTTTATTTTTACTGATTTTTTCAAAGTTTTAGTTTTGTAATAATTATAGATTCACAGGAAACCAGAGATAGTACAAAAAGGTCCTGTGTACCATTCATCCAAAGGTTACATCTTACATAATTATCCAAAATAATTTGATATGTAATATATCTGACAATACCTGTGCATAGTTCTAATCTACATCATTCACTTTCTTTGTTGATTTTTAAGTAAGCTTTACACCCATTGTGGGGCTTGAACTCATGACCCCGAGATCATGAGTTACATGCTTTAATGACTGAGCCAGCGAGGCACCCCTCCGTGTGTGTATAGTCCTACGTCATTTTATCACATGTGGAGATTTGTGTAATGATCACTGTGATTAGCATAGGGAACCATTCTATTACCACAAAGATCTCCTAGTGCTGCCTCTTTATAGTCACATCCAGCCCCTCCTAGCTGCCCTTAAACCCTGATAGCCACTAATTTGTTTTCCATCTCTGTAAACTTTTATCATTTTCAGGTTATACAAATGGAATCCTACAGTATGTGACCTTTTAGGACTGTCCTTTTTCATTCAGCATAATGCCCTTTTAGATCCATCCGAGTTGTTACATGTAACTATAATACTACTTTATTACTCAGTGGTATTTTATGGTATGGATGTATCATAAATTTTTTCACTATTTACTCACTGAATTACATTTAGGTTGTCTGCAGTTTTTGGTTATTGCAAATAAAGCTGCTATGAACAAGAGTGTAACTTCTTGGATGGAAGTTAAGTTTTCATTTCTGTAGAATAAATACCTAGGAATACAACTGATGGGATATATAGTAAGTGTATGCTTAGGTTTCTTAAAGATATCAATAAACTATTTTCTAGAGTGGCTACACCATTTTATTTATGTGTCTTCCAAAATTCATATGTTGAAACCCAATCCCTGTTGTTATGGTATTCAGAGGTGAGGTCTTTGAGAGGTGATTAGGTCATAAAGGTAGAGCCTTCATAAATGGGATTAGAGCTTTCACAAAAGATGCCCCAGAAAGCTCCAGTGCCCCATCCATCATGTGAAGACACAAACAGAAGATGGCCATTTAGGAACCAGGAAGTAGGCCCTCACCAGATACCAAATCTGTTGGCACCCTGATCTTGAACTTTCCAGCCTCCAGAACTGTGAGGAAATAAATGTTTGTTTTTAAACTGCCCACTCTGTAGTGATTTGCTAGAGCAGCCTGAAAAGACTAACATATTTGTGTAGCGATCATGGTCTTAACTTGCACTTGTAGTTCCCTAATAACAAGTGATATTAAACATCTTTTTATATGTTTATTTGCCATCCATATAACCTCTTCAGTGAAGTGTTCTATCATGTCCTTAGCCCATTATCTAACTGGATTGTTTGCTTTAATGTTCAGTTTTGAGAGTTCTCTATGTATTCTACCTGAGTTCTTCTTCAGATATGTGGTTTGCAAATACTTCCTCCAAATCTGTAGTTTGTCTCTTTATGCACTTAATAGGTCTTTTGCAGAGCAAATGTTTTCAAATTTGATTAACTCTAATTTGTCGACTTTTATGGATCATGCTTTTAGTGTCATGTTAACACCTCTTCACCAAAATCCTAAGGATTTTTACCTATGTTGTCTTTAAAAGTTTTACAGTTAAGTTTTACATTTAAATCTACAATCCGTTTTGAGTTAATTTTGCACCAGATGTGAGGTTGATGTAGAAAAAAAAAAGAACTGAAAAATAAAAAATAAGGGATGAGAAAGCCAATTTAATGGGATATTGTTTAATCTCTAAAAATAATTTAAAATACTGAGAATATCACAACATTAAATGACAAATGTTGAATATCTATGATTTCAACATTATAAAATATACATCATGTGTTGGATCAGAAAGTATGAAAGTAAAGTCAAAATAATTTGAGTGCAAAAGTAAGATTTCTTACCTACATGCTGACTCAGTGCCTGAACAACATTTGTGGCAGCAGCATAGATGCCTGGATTCTTAGAATTCAGATTGTTATCTACTATTGCTGGAATTAGCATGTTGATTATAGGAGATAAGTTGTCTCTAAGCAAAGGAATCATTTTGTGCATTGTTTCTAGAGCCACCAGATTTACTTTACTATTGGAATCGTGAAGTCGAGATTTAAAAGCATCAAAGATCTGGAAGTAAATTGGTAAATTATTTAATGTGAGTTAATGTTTATAGCTATTTAAATTCTTTCTGGCATTCTATAGTATTTATCCTATTAATATACTACTTAAAAACATACACACAACATCTTATTTAACCTGAACATAGATAACAGAAATTTTATAAAAATTTGGATGTTAAATCCAAGTCTCAAACCTTCTTAAAGCAAAATGACAAGTCTTCAAAAATCAATACATCCTAATGAATTAAGGCTGTGAAATCTGACTTAGTATGAAGATGACTGATTTACAGTAAATGTGACAAAAATGCTATTTTTTGGAAGGTATGGGTAGCTTAGCTAACTCTAAGAACTCAAGGAAAGTTTTCATTTTGATCACTATTCAAAACAGAATTAGACATGTAACAACTGTAGAGATTTGATTTAGTTTCAATTTAGGTTTCTTACGAGAATTTTATATGCAATTTTAGAGTTAAATTTTTATTATTACCTTTTAATCTTATTACTTTAAAAATTATTCCTTGCTCTTTAGAATTCTTAACTTCCATAAGTTTAAGATATAAAAAGTGAATGATAAGCAAAATCTTTGGTCATATTAGGTGAGTGAAGAGCTATTCTGTGAGGCTGATATACATATCTCTCATAAAAATATGAAAATTAATATATATAAATAAAAATTTTCATGGTAAGAATAGTCTTCTATTCTTATATACCCAGCATATTTATTTTTACTCAACAGATATCAGAAAATGTAACTTTCTGGTGTCCATGGCATGATAATACAGTACTTTTCTTCTGAAAATTAAGAGACAGTATTACTGGAATTAAGAGTAGTTAATGGTATGTTGGACAAGTTTAATGCACATAACAAAAATTTGAAATGGAATTTTATTAATAAATCATTAATGGAATTACCTGAACTAACTTTTAAGAAGCATAAATCATCTAAGCTCTGGTACCACTAACAATTATTACTATCTCCTTTTCTATTGCTTGTTGTCTTCTTAAGCACTGGTAAATAAATTAGTATATACAAGATTTCTAAATTACATATAAACATTTTAATATCTATACGTAAGTAATATCAGAGCACTTAAATGCCCTGGTTTTTAAAATATTTATTGATTCACTTGATGTGAATGTCAGGTTCCAAGAGCTCTGAGAATACAGAGCTTACAAAGAGTTACCATCTAGTGAGAAAATTCAGACAAATTACTCAGGTATTTTCTTATATTTTTAAATTTTCTTATCTTTCCCAATTACTTTGAATTGTTCTAGAAAGCAATTCATTCTACTAAGTTTAACATTTTAAAATAATACATATAAAGTACTAAGATTTAGGGTAATTTTTAATACTAATTAGCTATGAGCTACATATTGAAAATGAAAATTAATTTTGAAAATTCATTACCTTCACAATGTTTCCAACAACAAGCTCTTGATTTTTTTCAGTATCTGATAAAAGCTGCTTAATCCCATTAATACGATCACGGAAGTCTTTTGCATTTAATAAACCTGTTATGACTTTAATATATTCAGCACTTTCTAAGGAATTACGGGGAACTGATTTTCTGGTGATGTCACGAATTTCAGTTACTTCTCTAAAATCAAGGAAAGGCAAATTTAATTTCATTATTAATTTCCTATGAGAAGCATAAACATAATAAACAGGTCTTATTATATATTATTTTTCAACATTTTGCAAAATGATCTGATAGCCACAATCAAAGAGGGCCCCTGAGATCCCTCCTGACTTTGGTGATTTGGTAGGAGGACTGACAGGATTCAGCATGTAGTTTTACTCACAACTAAGATTTATTATAGCAAAAGGATACAAAACAAAATAAACAAAGGGAAAAAGTACAAGGGTCAAAGTCTAGAGGAAACCAGCTATAAGCTTCCAGGGGTCCATTCCCAGTGAAGTAACAAAGAACAAATTTTATTACTCTAGCAACAGCCTGTGACCTACCAATGAACCTTATTAGGGACTCAGTGCTCAGGGTTTTTACTGAGAGTTGGTCATGTTTGGTCCTCTGTCTAGGATATAATAAAATTCCAGGCTCCCAGAAGGAAAGCAAATCTTCACAGCATAAACCATATTGTTTGTCCAAATAATTTTGGTATAGTAAACTACTCTTTATCAGTTAAGGAACAGTGGCAATCTTCCTGAAATACTAGTTCCCAGATGCCAACTAAGGGCTAACCTTGTAAGTAGGACTTTCCAAAAATAGTAGTCTCAAGCCTACTATGTTAACTCAAAATAACCATGTGAACTTGCATGGGAAAACTAAAATCTTGACAGGATTTATTATTTATTATTATTACTAGCATAATTTTTTTTATTGCTTTAAAGGGGTGACTCAATGTGGCAGATGAATGATCGCTTTGAAAGAAATAAAGTTATGCAAATTGATATGTCTTAAAGACAACAGTATTAGTTGCCAGTTACCATTTCTGTCTACCAGTATTAAAAATGGTGCTAAAGTTGTCTTAAGAGCACTGATTAATGAAGGACTCAGAATCATCTTAAAAGTAGACACAGGGGGCGCCGGGGTGGCTTAGTCGGTTAAGCGTCCGACTTTCGCTTGGGTCATGATCTCACAGTTCGTGGGTTCGAGCCCCGCGTCGGGCTCTATGCTGACTGCCAGCTCAGAGCCTGGAGCCTATTTCAGAGTCTGTGTCTCCCTCTCTCTCGGACCCTCCCCTGCTCACGCTGTCTCTCTCTCTCTCCTAGAAATAAATAAAACATTAAAAAAAAAAAAAAAGTAGACATAGGATGGTGATTTAGAATAAAGATCTTATATGTATTCATTCATTATTTTTAATTTGCTTAAATAAATCAATCTGAGATTAATTTGTGAAATGACTAATTTCATACAATGAAAAAAACAGAGGATTAAATTTTTATTTAAACTGAGAAGTATATGACATATAAAAGGTGAATAAATGAAAAGAGTAGAACAGAAGAACATAATTACTGAAACTTGTGTTTCAAGATGACTTTTTTATTGTTCAAAACAAAATGGATTTGGTAGTAAAAAAACACTGAATATACCTTAGGGGGAAAAGATACAGTAAGAGTGAAATGGAGAAACTTACTAGGTATATATTAACATCAATAAAATATATAAAAGACAATGCATTAAAATGATCATAGAACACAGATGCAAAAACTTCAACAAATATTAGCAACTGAAGCAGCAATACATTAAAAGGATCATACACAATGACCAAGTGGCATTTATTCCAGGGATGCAAGAAATGGCTCAACATCTCCAGGACAATTTATGTGATACACTGTATTAACAAAATTGAGGATAAAAATTGTATCATCATCTCAATAGATGCAGAAAAAGCATTTGACAAAATTTAATAGCCATTCAACAAACTGGATTTAGATGGAAGATATCTGAACATAATAAGACATATATGACGAGTCCACAGCTAACATCATACTCAATGATGAAAACCTGAAAGGTTTTCCTCTGAGAACAGGAACAAGATAAGGATACCCTCTCTTGCCACTTTATTCAACACAGTACTGGATGTCTTAACCCGAGCAATATGCAAGAAAAAGAAATAAAAGTCTCCAAACAGGAAAGAGGTAAAACTGCCTCTATTCACAGATAATATGATCTTATACAGTTGGCCCTTTTCTTAAAAAAATTTTTAAATATTTTGTTTATTTCTGAAAAAGAGAGAGAGAGGGAGAGGGAGAGAGAGAGAGAGTGAGAGCAGGGGAGGGTCAGAGAGAGAGGGAGACACAGAATCGGAAACAGGCTCCAGGCTCTGAGCTGGCTGTCAGCACAGAGCCTGACATGGGGCTTCAACCCACAAACCGTGAGATCATGACCTGAACCAAAGTCGGATGCTTAACCGACTGAGCCACGCAGGCACCCCTATTTGGCTCTTAAACAACATGAATTTGCACTGTGCAGGTCCACTTACGTGTGGATTTAAAAAAAAATTTTTTAATGTTTATTTTTGAGAGACAGAGAGACAGAGCATGAGTGGGGGAGGAGCAGAGAGAGAGGGAGACACAGAACCTGAAGCAGGCTGCAGGCTCTGAGCTGTCAGCACAGAGTGTGACTCAGGACTCAAACTAATGAACTGTGAGATCATGACATGAGCCGAAGTCGGACCCTTAAGTGAGTATGCCACCCAACTGCCCCACATGTGGATTTTTTTAGTTTATTTTTTTTGAGAGAAAGCATGAGGGAAGGAGTGGCAGAGAGAGAGAGGAGAGAGGGAGAGAATCCCAAACAGGGATTTCCAATGCAGGCCTCAAACTCATAAACTGTGAGATCAGGACCTGAGCTGAAGTTGGATGCTTAACGGACTGAGCCACTTACATGTGGATTTTTAACAGTACAGTACTGTAAATGTGTTTTCCCTTCCTTATGATTTTTTTTTAACATTCTGTTTCTCTAGTTTACTAGAAGCATACAGCACTTAAAAACATATACAAAATATGTATTAATCGACTGGTTATGTTATGTTTATCAAGTAAGGCTTCTGGTCAACAATAGGTGGTTAACTTTTTGGGAAGTCAAAAGTTATACTTGGATTTTCAGCTGCATGAGGGTCAATGCCCGTAACCCCTGCAATGTCTAAGGGTCAACTTATAAAGAAAACCCTCAATACTCCACCAAAAAAATCTCAGAAACTAATCAACAAATTCAGTAAAGTTTCAGGATAAAAAAATCAAAATATAAAAATCAGTGGCATTTCTACAAACTAACAACAAAATATCAGAACAAGAAATTTTTAAAAATCTCATTTACAAGTGCATCAAAAATAATAAAATACCTGGTAATGAATTTAACCAAGATAAGAGATTTCTACACTTCCAAACCTTGATAAAATTATAAAACCTTGATAAAAGAAACTGAAGAAGATATAAATAGTGGAAGATACTTCATGCTCATGTACTGAAAGAATTAATATTGCTAAAATGTCCTTACTACTCAAAGCAATCTACAGACTGAATGCAATCACCATAGACATTCCAACAGCATTTTTCACAGAAATAGACTAA